CTAAATCAGTGTTCTTAACCTAATTGATGGGGAAATAAATGTTATTTGAAATTGATTGTTTTATAATCCTTCGGTTGCGAGATTTTACACAATGTAATTATTTTATATATATGTGGGTCGCTTGAAGTTGAAAATGGGGTTGTAGCAAAATTCTAACGTAGTGAGATGCCTTTACTAGCGTAAGTAACACGGTGGGTGATTTATTTGCCATGTGTATTGAAGTTATGGTCCCTATCTTGCTGGTAGAAATTTTGAATGACGTAAGTTTCTCTGTGTGTGTATTGCTTTTTTTCTTTGAATTTCAAATTTTGACTCATTTAAAAAAAATAGGGTTGCAGACTTCTTGTCAATTGCAATGAAATCCGTTACTGTAATGCATTTCTGTTTTGAATTTGTGTTGTGATTTCTTGCAGGACGAAATAAATTGTCAAACAGGCCGAACAATAGATTTTTTGCGCAAATCATCATTTTCAAATGCACTTTTTCTTCCACGTAATTTGTTGTCTGGTTCGGGTTTAATAATCCCTCTCAATTTTCATTCTTGAAGTGGGAGGGGGGAGTAAATAGTTTTTTTGTAAATCGTGATAACAATCCAAATACATTTACACCGCCGGTGGAGAGTTTTGACGAATTTTGCGTATCTCGTCAACAGCGATGAGCACGTGCTGTGCCGCGCGTTGTAATCATGTCTGGCGCGTGACCTACGTCATACTCTTATCAATTTGCATGGGATATTGCTTACTTCAATCATTCTCTGTCTGGAAGTCTCCCGTAGGTTAATACCCAAATTGAATCAAAATTGAACGTTCAATATCGAAAGGGGTCTTGTATCCGAGAGATTAAATGACGGGGTTAATAATTAATTGATCACAAGTTTCACATGTGATAACAATCACAAGCATACTGCTAAAAATATTCAAACTTTCAATATTTTTAGGAGTAAATGGGAATATTGGAATGGTATTTGAATCATTAAGAATAAAGATATGGTTACGACAAATATCGTTTTCGAATATGATATATTTAGAAATCTACTTAAGTTTCGATATTACTACATTGAATAACTACGGAATGCTTGTAATATTGACTCGTTTTTTTTATTAGTTCTTGCCATGGGCTCATTGTTCTTTGATCTCCCACGGGCATAGAATGAAATTCATAAAGAATTGTTTCATGGACGGGCAGACAGCTGCGACGTGATGTCTGGATCAATATCGCATTAATTTAGGAGGGAGTGAAAGGAGATTTAAAGTTTTTACGATGCCAGAAATCTATTGTTAGTTTTAAAATTTGCGTGAATGAGCACAAGTGCGACAGAAGTTCAGTGGCGTGGTGTTATCTGTACCAGATGTCCGTATTCTTAGATAACTAATCAAGATATACAGACGTGTATTAATGTCGCGCTCTCTGTATTCGCTACCGTTCTTGCTACAAACAAGGGTTCTTTTGTATTAAAACCCCGCCAACGCGTAAAATAAGAAAATTTGAATATTTAGTTGGGTTAGGAATGCAGATTGCGCTGGAAATTAAAATTTTTAAATTAATCCTAACTGGATAATTGCTAATTTTATATTCAAAAACGTGGCGCGGTTATTTTTCTCAAATCTTACATTTTTGCATTAATGGCGGGGGGCTTTGTATGAAAGATCCCAAACAAGAATGTGGGAAAACAGTCACCTCGTTTTACACATTTATATATTAACTGTTTATTTAAATTATTATACCACGATTTCATGTATGCTAATCAGTGGCGTATCTGTGTAAAATGGCACAATGGAAAAGTTTGAAAATGCGCCCCTCGATCGTTGACGGACAATTTTTTAACGACCGTTTTGGAATTAAGAATAAATATATACTTCCACTTTATTATTTGAGTAAAATACGAGTGTTGATTATTTCCAATTTGAAATTGTTTTCTTCGAACATTTTACGATTAAATTTTTTTACCTATTTTTGCCTCAATTCAAAGGGCGTCCACGAGCCATGGCTGCCATACTCTAACTAAATCCCAACCATTCCAACTCCTTATTTTTGTTACTGGATAAAAGCCCTGATAAAAGTCACCAAGCTCCAGCTTTGAGAATAGATTAAACACGAGTCGTTGCATATGTAATTGGTGTCATCTATTAATTAAATGAATAGTTTAACAATCACTAGCAAAATTTACTTTAAAATGAAAATGAACTTTCCAAAAAGTCGCTGAATGCGTAATTAATATGGCGCATCGACGCATTTGATTATTGGCCGTCCTTAGAGTTGAAATCGCAGAGAATTAGGCCCTTCGCGTTCAGTTTTTAGGCCATCGCTCCATATTCCTTCAAGGTCACATCTCGAAGGTCACTCTCGGTGGTTCAGGTAAATAAATATGTTTATTAAACAAAATGTCTTATTGGAATGTGTATACATCTCCGCAATCTGATTTGTAAAAGGAAATATGTTTTACTTTGATTTTATTTTGCGCGTAAGTAAGCGTGATTTTGTGGTTGTTCGCCCGGTGGTTGTCTGCATGCTCAGACGATTAAAAAGCCCATTCTCTAACTTAGGGATGTAATAGGGTGTTTACGTGAAGGACCCCAGTTTTCTGCACCGAACAGAAGCGTATATGAATTCCTGCTTTTTCAAAGAGTAGTCCGGAGCAAAGTTGCAAATCCCCCCGCAAAATGCTTATGTAAAAACCAAAATGAGCTATAAAATTTTTATTTTTTTGATAAATATCAGAATGAGATAATTGGATCAAAACTCGACTTTGGAATTCACTAAGTATTTACGTTGATAATAAATACAAGAACGAGCGACATGCTGGCATCGGAAATAAAATGGGGTTAGGAATCCTAATTAACTAAATCGCTAACTAAAATTGAAATAATAGATGTGGTTCGCGGGCTCACGGGATTTGAAATCTCGAGAGTCTGTTTCGAGAACGATGTTCCCTAGCAACAAAAATTCCGAGTCTAATTGCCTGGAAAAGTTGATTAGTATTGATTGGCGGAGAAGTGCGCGGGATTACGTATGAAAAAACATTGCCTATATAGAACTCGCGTGTCAGGGATTTTATTTTTGGCGGGAATATTGATGGAAATGTTAATACTGTCGTATTTTGATGACTGCTTTCCTGTGTCTATTTCTATTTATTTATGTTTTTGATATATATGCACCTTAGGCCTGTGGGAAAATGAACGAATTAAATTGAAAGATGATATTTTGTTATTAGTGTTAAGACTATTGGTAACTTATACAAACGTATTATGTAGTTGACTGGTCATCTGCGCCGGCAAACTGAATTCTGTCCATAGGTTGCTAGTTTCTTGACAAAGTTTTTATGAACAGCACATTTGCTAATCTTGAAATATTTTATTCCCCGATTTCGCAGAAGAATAAAATAGGTGGTAGATTTGGTATTAGTTCGCGTATCTTTATGCCGAAAATAAAACGAATCTCGTTGATTTGTTTTTGAGACTTTTTGGCATCTGTGTTGTAATTCACCATAATTAACATATTAATGTTTGAAAAGAAATTGAACACTCTCATCTTTTTGCACAGCAGTGATGCTTGTAGAATGCGTGTTTTAGAGAAGTTTACACGAAAAACATCAACAAGTTATTTCGTAACTTATAATCGAAGACAAGCTTGTGGGCGGAGTTTGTTAGTGGAATTCAAACAAACGACGAAAAGACATTGTTTTATAGAGCTTGTAACCCCAGATAAAATAACTTTAAATCATTAATCGCCGAGTAATGAAAGCGTTGGGGCGGAGTGATGGTAACTTGAAGGTTTCGTATAATGTTATCTTAACTGGTGAGATAAGTAGTGTTCAGATTATAACAAAAAGCAGAGAATGTTCGGAACCGCCTTTAATTTTATTCATTAGCTGAGTTGAATGAGGTAAAGCGTCACTTTTCTGGACAGAGAAAATGAGAATCGCGTCCCACGGCACCAAAAAGGTATGAAGAAGTTTGTTGTTCGGCCATTCCGTCGACGCTTGGCTAATTTTCGTCTTCTTCGTACGCTCTCATTAAATATGGGTTGGCTTGAAGCAGACATTTTTTTCAAGTTTTCAATATTTCAGTGGAACCTAGAAATTTTTTACAAAAAAATTGCCGCAGCAAGTTTGTTTTTCAATTTCGAGGACAATTCATGCAACGCCAAACTACAGCGAACGCGCATTCATGGGAATCTGAACGATGACGCAATTAGGTTAGTCAGAGCTTGAATTATTCATGTGATACCGGCATGGGAGTTTTTTCTAGAATGCTCATCTCGCTCTACATAACATTTCCGTCTTACAATTGCCTTTTCGCTTTCAGACTTGAATTATTAATTAGGGCAGCTCGATTTTATCGAAAACCAATTTCCATCAGCTCGTACACTTATACGAGACTAGTGCGCAGATGTCTTTTGTTCTCGTCGACGATAAGAACACACCTCGAGCTTGTTAGCCGCGCAGTCTATACTTACCAACTGCACGGCGCTTGGTGTGTGTGCGATTCACGAGAATTTCTTGATTTTTTGTATTTCCAGGCGCAAACTTCCCTCAGCGCGCCTGGTTTAGACAGTGCCTGTATACCTTACGTTTGTATTCCTTTCTGTTACGAACAATATCGCAGAGCCTCGTGATAAATTTGAAGTACTTCCCCGCGCATGTTTCGCGTTCAATCTGCTCTTGGTTTGAATAGCGAAATCGTTTATCTGAAGTTGTGGGAAGTAGTTTGAGTGGTTTTTGTCAGGATGAATTTCTTAAGTGAACCATTCTTTTAGTTATAGTTATAATTTTAGTCAGGCGCAGCGAAATATCAGAATTTTGAGTTTAACGATATTCAGCTCGAGTAGCTCACTTTAAGTTTTTATTTTTACCCTTTTGCCTATATTTGTGAGGTAATAATAGATAAACAAATCATTGTTACATGTTTGCAATTTATTTCAAATAAACCAATCAAAATAGGTTGATTGTCTATTTCGACCAATCGGAATCCATTATTTGTTTCCCTTGGAATTCTAGAATTTTCTTCAGAACATATTTTTGTTTTCACAGACTTAGGACGCGTTTCCTTTTTAGTCTCGAGTTTTGTCGCCTTCGGTGTGATTTTTCTGTTGCTTTTTCGTATTAAAATATAATATAATCATGCGCGAAATCGTTCACTTGCAAGCCGGACAATGCGGAAACCAGATTGGTGCCAAGGTAAGTTCAAGTTTATTGATTTTCTCTGTGAAGAGACGGCTGACGCCATATTTGAATTGTGCGGGTCTTTGGTTCTCGCGTGCAGTCAGCGCCTGAATAAATTTCTGCTTTCAGAGTTCAAATTTGGAACAGAGGAGTGAACAAGTTCGATAATTTGTAACGTTAGGCCGATTTTTTTAATATTATTTGGGATCTTTACTGTCGCTACGCAGGACTACAAAATAAAAGAAATTTTTTAAAGATAATTTCTGCTATGATAGGCTTATACTGTGACTGTGGGACACGTTTGTGTTTTGTTTGATGAGATTGATCCTACAATGCAATGCTTGGGTGCTAATTTTTGTATTGTCAACATTAAATCCCGAATTACCGGCAAAATTTTTTTTGTTTTTGTTTTTCCAGTCTTGATTTGGATGTAATGTAGAAATTAGGGAGAAATTTTCTGGTAATTTTGATCTAACTTAGTGCTATGACAGTATGGCTTGTAATACTATTTTTATAGCATAGTTTTTCTGTAGAAGGCTATGATTAATTTGAAAATTCACAAAACTTAAAATAGCACTTGATGTTAATGATATCGGACTGCCATAATAATTCCTACTATTGGTTGGGGTTGCGATACAGCGTTTTTTTTTCTGAAATTGGAAGTAATATTGACTAGTCGTGCTTAAATTGCTTGATTTTAATGATATTCGTGGACGTTATGCATAATAATTTCTACTAGTGGTCAAGAATCTCGATTTGGCACTTTTTTAAAAATTGGCCCTTTTTTTAAATATGAGTTATTCTGACTAGTTTAGTAGTTGCTTAAAATGCGTGATATTTTAAAGTAACAACAACAAAACTATTTCAGTTCTGGGAAGTCATCAGTGACGAACACGGAATTGACCCAACTGGAACCTACCATGGTGACAGCGATCTTCAACTAGAGAGGATCAACGTCTATTATAATGAAGCAACCGGTGGAAAATATGTCCCAAGGGCAATCCTTGTCGATTTAGAACCGGGCACAATGGACTCTGTGAGATCTGGCCCGTTCGGACAAATTTTCAGACCAGATAACTTCGTTTTCGGTAATTTGAATTGCTATCATCAGTAGCATTATTGGGTACAACTTTGGATACTGGTTTATTTTATTTCTTCAATACCTATTGGACTTTAAATTGCGGCTTTTTCAAGTTTGTGCGTAGAATGTGGATTTTGTATGCCAACCACTGGGAAATCTAAGTTCCTTCCCAATGGAAAAAATGCAGTTTTATTGAACCAACTGAATACTTGTAACATATATTTGACCATCGATGAAAATATGGAATTGTGCTTTTTTCCCGTGGCATAGTAATCGATCATAGAGTTCAAAAAGTGTGTAATTATAAATTATTTTTCAGGGCAAAGTGGTGCCGGTAACAATTGGGCCAAAGGCCACTACACCGAAGGTGCAGAACTCGTAGATTCAGTTTTAAGATGTTGTTCGTAAAGAAGCAGAAAGCTGCGATTGTCTTCAAGGTTTCCAACTTACACATTCTCTTGGCGGAGGAACTGGGTCTGGAATGGGAACTTTACTTATTAGCAAAATTAGAGAAGAGTATCCAGATCGGTAAATGTCTTTTTCAGTGTTATTTTTTTTTCAATTTATACGAGTAAAAGCATTTTTTAAATATCTTTTTTTCTTTTAGAATCATGAACACATTTAGCGTAGTCCCTTCACCAAAAGTATCAGACACTGTGGTCGAACCATACAATGCAACTCTTTCAGTGCATCAGTTGGTTGAAAATACCGATGAAACTTATTGTATTGATAACGAGGCTTTGTACGACATTTGCTTCCGAACATTGAAACTCACCACACCAACATATGGAGATTTGAACCATCTTGTCTCTGCCACAATGAGCGGTGTCACAACATGTCTCCGATTCCCAGGTATTAAGTGATTAAATTATCAACTAATATTTTGTTTCACAAGTGTTGCAATTCTGACAAACTATTATTTCTTGTAGGTCAACTCAACGCTGATCTTCGTAAATTGGCTGTCAACATGGTTCCATTCCCTCGTCTCCATTTCTTCATGCCTGGATTTGCTCCTTTGACCAGCAGAGGTAGCCAGCAATATCGCGCTCTGACCGTTCCTGAGCTCACACAGCAAATGTTCGATGCCAAGAACATGATGGCTGCATGTGATCCAAGACATGGACGCTACCTGACCGTTGCCACCATGTTCCGTGGACGCATGTCCATGAAGGAAGTCGACGAGCAGATGCTCAACGTACAAAACAAGAACAGCTCGTACTTCGTTGAATGGATTCCCAACAACGTCAAGACTGCTGTTTGCGACATTCCACCCCGTGGTCTAAAGATGGCTGCCACTTTTGTTGGAAACAGCACTGCCATTCAGGTAAATTATGTTCCAACTTAATTATTTTTAGCGGTACTCCCGTAGTATGTGTACCAGCTTAGGGTTAAATCATAATTTCAGGTACAAATACTACGGGAGTCACTTGGTGGCAAGTCTATGGTGGCCCATCGTTGTCACGCGTAAAATTGAAAATAAAAATTAAAAATAAAATAAAAAACCGAAAATAAAAAATTTGTTGTAAAAAAACAGAAAAATAATTAAAAAAAAATGAAAAAAAAAATTAAAATTAAAAAAAAATAAATAAATAAAAACGAAAAAACAAAACAAAAAAAAAAATTGAATAAAAAGAAAATAAAAAGGTTGACAACGATGGTCCGCCTCGTGGCCCATCGTTGTCACGCTTTTTTATTTTTAGAAAATTTGCTTCTGCTTGGGACCAACGTTGTCAGGCATAATCCTACGCGCACAAATGTGTTCCCTGGGTTTCAAACTCACTACTGATTTTCTTGAGCAATATTCAATATGAAAATGTTCTATAAATTCTCCATGCTACAAGTTCAACAAGAAGTAATATATTTATAATAATGATAAAAGCATATAGAATTAAATACGAAAATTCGGAAAATTTGTTTTTACGTGTATAAGGTAATTTAATTGGAGAATGCTGCTTAACTCCTCAGTTGTCTGGACACTCGCGATGCCGGTACCGTCTTACCAAATACCGGTAGTCGGTTATAGTCGCTTTGCGTCTGACCGTACAAGTAGCCATACAATCACTCATGAAAGAATGGGAGATACGGATAGTCTCGTAGAATATAGATCCTAATAGAATATAGTGAGTCGAGGTATGGATTGAAATAAATGGTTGAGCACGGGCGATTTATCATTTGTCTGGATCGGTACGTTACGGCTGTACGGTATGGGGCAGGCGCAGAGAGTGTTTCAGTAGACTATATTCTACGAGACTATCCGTATCTCCCATTCTTTCACGAGTGATTGCATGGGTACCGGTACGGTCAGACGGTACCGTACCGGCATCGCACGAGTGTCTGAGCAGTTAAGCAGCTTTTTCCAATTAAATTATCTTCTACACGTAAAAACAAATTTTCGTATCCAATTCTATATTCTCTTATTATAAATATATTGCTTGTGGTTGAACTTGTAGCATGGAGAATTTATAGAACATTTTCATGTTGAATTTATTGGATATTGCTCATGAAAATCAGTAGTGAGTTAGAAACACATTTGTGCGTGTAGGATTAAGCCTGACAACGTTGGTCCCAAGCAGCATCAAATTTTCCAAAAATAAAAACGCGTGACAACGATGGGCCACGAGGCGGACCATCGTTGTCAACCTTTTTATTTTCTTTTATCCAATTTTTTTTTTTTTTTTTTTTTAATTTTTTGTTTTATTTTTCAATTTTTTTTTTTAATTTCAATTTTATTTTTATTTTTTCAATTATTTTTATGTTTTTTCACAACTATTTTTTTATTTCATTTTTTTTTTTAATTTTACACGTGACAACGATGGGCCACCATACAAGTCCCCAAACTTGTTAATTTTATCAAACGTTTAACTGGTGCTTTCATCTTTAGGAACTCTTCAAGCGTATCTCTGAACAATTCACTGCCATGTTCAGAAGAAAGGCTTTCTTGCATTGGTACACTGGAGAAGGTATGGACGAGATGGAATTCACTGAAGCCGAAAGCAACATGAACGACTTGGTGAGTGAATATCAACAATACCAGGATGCAACTGCAGAGGAAGAAGGTGAATTTGATGAAGAGGAGGAAGATGAAGATGTTGCGTAAATGACCGACCATCCAATCAATGTTTCTGTTTGAAGAAAAAAAAAACTTTGTAAAAAAAAATAAATACACTATTTTTGCTTGGTGACTGGGACATAAATATATTTGGGTGAACACAGCTTTCAAATAAATTTCACTGGATAGCTTTTGTTTGTTGTATTTAATTCGGAATATGGTACGACAGATTTGTGACATTTTTTTGTTGGTGGGCCATTTAACCATCTTCAGGCATCTATCTGGGCCGCACACAAAAATAATAGTGATGAATGGGTTTGGGAAAAGATTCAACACAGCGATGGGAGCAAAAAACATGTATTTTTTATCCATGTGACGCCTTTTTAAACCTAAACTGTCTGATTATGCTTTTGCTTGATTAGAAAAATCACAGCTGGCGGGTTGTGGCCTGCCTGCTGCACACCCGTGGCAAAAAAGGACTTGAAAGACATATTAGCTTGATTGAGTTGCTCGGGCCAGAGGTCAATAGTGACATCAGTGATGACCTTATCCGCCAAAGAGAGATGGGGCAGTTAAATGTTTATCAAGCATTTATTACCTGGTCCTCTGTGAAAATAGTAGGTGCTGAATGGTCATCTTAATGTCCAGTGTTGGACAAACTGTGGACCTTTTCCACTTTATTTGCTGGGTGGATGAAAGCTTTAGGATTGGGGGGCTCCATTCGGCAATATATTTGTCTTTCTTGACCTTTTTTATCAAACATGGATTCAATTCAAAACTGGTCAGAAATTGAATATTGGAATCCAGGCATCTATTAATTAGCTATCATGAGATGGGTAGATGACCCCAACTGTCCAATATGGAATTTTGCACAAGTGGCTCAAAGAGGTATTCCTGTAGTATATGTACTAGGTTAGGCCATAACTTTATTCTGAATCTCCTTGTTTTAGTTCTAGTGCAATTTCGGGACTGTCTGTGTTAGCCAAGTAAATATACTCCCCGCCAATAGGTTTCAGTCCCTTTACACAAGTTGATGCAAGCAAACAAAATTAGTTACCTCCATATTGGTACACATACTTTTGAAAAGCCAATCTTTACAGGTGTCTTCGTTCATGACCGATCCAACTGTTTTACTACCTGTATTCTTTTTACTTTTAGTTCAGGATTTGAGGTCTGGTGCTTAGCAAACGTGCAAATAAATTAGCTAGAGACAAATAGCACAGCACCAAAATATCAAATCTTGAAATTATCAAAATTTTCGAGCACCCCTTGAAGCATGCCCTGTCATATACTAAAAGGCAGTTCATCCTACGCTCATCGACAATTATAAGGATCCTATGCCAGCATTTCTATCTACAATCAATTATCAATGCAAAAGCAGACATTAGGCCAATTCATCATTTTTATTCCATCCCAGTCAAGTCAACACCACATTTACACCCCTACAAAGTCTATTCCAATAAATCATCCAGCTAAATAAACTTGCAATAAATGTTTGAAAGTTCCTGAATACTGGTTAAATTGCATGCCAGTCAATTTATGAAAATAACTATCAGCATACTTTAATGCTTTTCTTGACGATACACAATATCCAAAGGAAAAACTAAAATTACTAACAACGTTATTTAGTCGGTAACACATTGAGATATGCTGGAATCAAAAAAACCACATCCAAATTTGAGATAAATTGTAAACCATTTCACTACCAAGCTTAGTGATTTAACAACAATATTTTGGCAATTGTGTAACTTGAATAATTTGAAAAAGGTGACATTTAGAGCCACAAATATCAAGCTTATCTAGATTAAAAAGCATGATTAAATTGGCAAAATTAATTGGCAAATTTTGTTATTTATAATCCAACCCAATATTTCCATGATCTTAAATTTTCCTAGAATAAAATTTCATTATACTATCTAACAATTGCCCTAACTATAACTAGAGTTCATCAGATGGTCGTGGTACTGGTTTGACATCTTCCACAAAATCTTCAGAAATGTTGGCAGGAGAATAGAAATCTACAAGGAATTGGAACACCTTTGTTTCATCAAATTCCTGCAAAAACAAAAATTATCTATGACCAAATATGGTGATTTATTCGCTTGTCTAGTTTTGTACATTCGAGAGACCCAGTTTAATGAAAAGGTATCTGAAGATGGCCTTTTACAATGGTTCACAGCGTTTTAGGACTTACAGAGGCTTTTAGCACTCATAACCCCCTGTTTATCATTCCAGTGGTATTTATAGTCTTGTTTTGATTGGTGTATTCTAAATTAAGGTTCAAACGATCCATGCTCAACAAAGTGGAAACACCCTGCGAAATAAACTTATCGAGCAATGAAACTAGGAAAAAGGAGAAGTTTCCATGAAGAGTGAGAAGTAAATTCAGTTTTTTGTCAACATTGTGGCCCCCCTATCATCTCTGTGGCCCCATAGGCGGCCATAGGCCCCCGCTTGAAAACTGCCAGTTTAGTATTTAAAGTTTGGACTGTTTTGGCATCACAGGTAAATAATCCTGGGTTTAGATATCATCACTTACACCACTCAAAAAGTTGGGCAGGCCCGACCCGGTAGGATTTGGGTGTACAAAATATATGAAAACAGGTGGTTTAGCAGTTGAGGTAAAAGTAAACTTGCTCTGACCAGAACTGCGGAGCCACCGACTCAAGTTCAACTTCCCGGGGTCAACAGAAAGTCAATAAGTTTACTCAGCGTTCATAAAAGTCAATTAAGAAAAGCTTTCATGTGGCAAAGTTTTTGAGTATCAAAATTTGATATTTGAGAGCATTGGTTCTCAAAACATTTCAAGCCGCACCCCCTTTTTAGAATTCGCCAAGTTTTGTGCCCCACCTCAAAAATAATTAGCTAACAATATGCTATAAATAACAGATAGCAAGGCAAAAGTATGTTTTATTCAAAAACACGTTGAAAATGCGTGGATGGAACGTAAATAGTTTTGAAATGTAAATATCCAAAATAAAGCGGGCAAGATCAAATCTAACAATTTTTTTTATTTTTAATCAGCTTCACGCATCCTCAAAAAACTGTTATTGTGGGGCGCGTCATTTGAGAACCACTGTTTTAGAATTCAAGTCAAAATATTTAACAACTCCAAACAGCAGTTGGAGTCTATTGTAAAGTTCCCCTACTTCATAGCCCTAGCTCTTGCTACAGTTACACTAAGAGTGAAAATAGAAATAAGGATGAGATAATGAACCACAACTGCAACGTTTGATCCAATTGCCTCATTATTATTGTTAATTAAGAAAAATTTCTCACCAAATGTTCATTCCAACATTCAGGACAAATTTCTCTTGTCGGCCATTGTACTTTAGGAAACTCAGGATCATCATTCTTTCCACCAGACAAACGCAGATTCACTTTATTATGTTTGGACCAGAGATACATGATAGAATCCTCACTTCCATCAATCTAAACATTTGCAAAAAAAAATTCTCTGAATAAAGGTTTGATCAAACTACAAGGTGGTCGCTGGAAAAGCAAAAAAAACATTGTAGGTCAGATGAGATCACGAATAAAATGTGAATAGTATGAATTGGAACGATATCCCACATGTCAACCTCCAATACGCTACACAAGCTTCTAGGTTAGGACACTGCTCTGAAGTGGACAGACGGCATTTTGAGCATCTATGATCGTAACATAACATATGCCTTTGAAAAACTTTGTTAAAGTTATTCTCCGTAACAAATAAATAGCTGTTTGACAAATTTTCTGTATTTCTAGATCAACACTAAAACAAGAATATAGGTCAGAGGCCGAACACTTATCGATTGAAAGTTAAAGGATCCCCCAAAACAGCGCTCTTACTCCATAGTGACACCTTGTGTCGCATCACTAATTAATTGATAACTCGCTAATTATACAACAGAATTGGCCCAAAATCAATAGGCTTCTGGTCCGAGATATGATGAATGCACATGCAAAATCTGGAGCAGATTCAATCTCGCTTTCGTGAGATATCGCGTGCATCAAACAGACAGACAGACAAATACCTATCAACATACTTACCGATTAAAATCGATAAGTAACAACCCCGAGGCATGTTTAGAAATCAAGGATGCAGCGGTGAGATTCAAGCCAGAAACTTAAAAGTATAGGGAGGGTATAACTCATTTAACCCTCTTTTTCCGCTGGTTACAATCGACTTTTTGTACCATTTTATAATATGTAATGACTAGTTAACCAAACGTGCCAGGAACACCCCCAATATCTCTTTGAAAAGCCTATTTTCGCGTCTTCCTACTAAAACGCGCCCAGATGACGTATCCGCAAACTGTTCGACCTTACCCGGTAAGAAGAGAGAAATTTCAAAAAATTTTGAGAGAACGTTTCACACTCTCATCGCTCCGATGAACACGAGTAACAAAGAAACAAGATTTAAGCGCTCTGCTCAAAGAGCATTACGTCACCTTTGCAGAAAAACCAGACTCAGCTTCGCAAGCGAAGCGAAACGCGAAATATTCAATGATATGTAAGAGCATGTTCACGATAGTTGTCTGGAATCTTTGTTTGTTTATTATGTGCGCGAAATTGTTTCCCGCTCGATCAAATGACTTATCTTTGAAGTAATGACAAATACTTTCGTGTATCTCTAAGCTTTGAAATACCTACACAAATAAAATTCACCTAGTAGTAGAATAAAAAATTTACAAAAAAAAAATTTTGACGGATCAAGCACGGATCATTGTTGGAAGCCAAAAATGATTTTAGTTAGTGCGGGAATACTTCACAAAACATGAACATAAACGTAAAATAGTCCGAAAATAACTATTATTGTCATATTATGACCAAGGATGGTAGTACGAATATATATATCATTAGGAAAAAGAGAGTTAAATATAATGACTACACCTGATGTTCTCAATCTTTTTTCTTTCGTGATTTTCGTTGCACAATCTCTCAGTGGCCCACCCCCTTTTCAGGCAAACAGAAAACTACAAAGCAACTAGATGAATGAACTGAAGATGAATTACCTACAAAAGTATGCTAAAAGTGATAAACATTCACCTCTTCAATATCATCTGTAGCAATTGCCCAATGTTTTCTGCATTCCATACAAGAAAAATATCGTGCAATGTATTCCTTCATGTTGATCAGCATACCAACACCCCACTCACCCTCTGGAATAAAGGTCAATTTCAAAATGAGAATTGTTGCTCATTAGATAATTAATCTACACTGAATTTACGCCAGGGGTGTGCAACCTTTAATACAGAAGGGCCAGATACAAATGACTGGGTTATAACTGTGGGCCGCACCTTTAGGATTTCTAGGAGTTACAGGCACAAAAATTTTAGTTATCGATCATCTAATGCGCATTTATCGCTTTACATCATCTAGTTGTTAGGACATTGTAGATAATAAATTGGGCTCAGGACGTAAATAGCATCTTATTATTCAAACCATGACACCGAAAAAAATTAAATTACCAGTAAACACAATTTAAAATATTATTGTCTCAGGTATCGGCTTTGGGATTGGAGTTATTCTCACATACCAGATTAAACTAAAATCTTGTTTTGCGGAAGCACACCTTCCAAATTGGCACTTCTCTGCGGTACGCACAATTTTTCTTTGCATTTTCTGAAACATATTACCAGTTAACTAACCGCATATCTGCCAAAGACTGGTAATCGGACGAGGAGGAGTTGTGGCCCGCCATAATATTAAGGCAACTCAATATCAAGCTTTGCTCTCCCCGGGATAAATTTAAAAAATCATATCTTTCTTTCCCTGAACATTGTTTAAAGAAAATAACAAGCAAACACAGCAGTTCCAAAAGCGATCAGGAGTTACTTTTTCACCAGTTCAGAGAAAGATCAGGCAGAGATGAGTATGAATGGTTGACATTTTGTTGTTATTTCTTAGGGTTTCTTAGGTTTATGAACTTTAAAAGACATATGATACGGCGACAAGATTGAGTTTTATTTAAAGACAGCAATTTTTTTTCAGAGTAAGTGTGCCATGTGTTTTTTCCATGATAATGAGCTGAGCTAACAGGTAGAAAAGAGAACAGAAATATTCCCAAAAAAATTGAGATTTGCTAAAACAATTAAATTTTTACCAGGTTCAATCTTGTAAGCCTGGTTCACCAGTACATGAAAGAGCTGCCACAAACTGCATGGGAATCCTCGAAGATCTGGTTGACTTCCTGAACATCCATAGTATGTTTCATTCCTCGTTAGGTAGGCTCCTTTAGTCTGTAAATATATATGTTTATTTGCATCATGTAAATCCGGCATGGGGAGCACTATAATCCGGCCCGCAACGCTTCACTAAATTATAGTAACAAAACATCCGTTTTGACGAATATATTCTTTAGACTAAATTATATTATAACCTAACAATTTTATATTTCACAATTACTCGTTTAATGAGCATATAATTCAAGTATAATTAAGCAAATGGCAACGAAACGCAGAAAAGTTGATGCTAAATGCAAAGGGTTCAATGGCGCTGAAAATATTCAAATGAAATTTTATGAGATGCAATGAGGAAATAAATATATATTCTATTCGAGAGATGTATCACTGCTTGATTATTAATATAAAAAGTACCATTCATTCGGTTTTTCAACTTTCTAAAAATATATGCGGCCTGCCAATGATTTGCGACCTTAATTTTGGCCCGCGAGCGACAAAAGGTTGCCGACCCCTGATGTAAATGAACGCATTAGAGCAGAGACGTTTAACAGGTGACCCGCAGGCCACAACCCCCCACCCGTAAAGTGTTTTGTGCAGCCCTTGTCAACACTCTCATCAAGCAAAAGAATTTACCCAAAAAGGTTGGAAACCACTGGCCTATGCAAGCATTCAACCGAATTGCCTAAACTGGGCTACAGATCTTGCTTTGTCATGCGAATGATTCAGGAAGATACCCATGTTATCCTTTATTGATATGAACTCTTCTGTTTATAGATTATCTATCCGTAGGGAAAACTTACAGCTTTGATGGTCTATTGTATATGTATCATAACAAATTCTGATACCTGCATTACCGGAAATTTTCAGATATATAAGTCGAGTTCAAAACTACAAAATAGAAGTTGCTAAACTTAACGGGTCTACTTGTACATGCATAACTTTGAGCAAAGCAATTATTTGCTGTGATAGGTGCGTACGGAGTGTTACAATTTGTATTATGTATGTTTTACTGTAAATTCTTGCAAATAAGCAGAGTTTGAAAATTCACCAATTTAGGGCCGTTTTAGGAGGTCGGCTTATACACAAGGATATATGGTAAATGATATTCATTTTAAAACAATCACCTCATCTGCTTTCTCCAGAATCTCCTGCCATGTTCCCCAGACTAACATATTAGTAACAAGAAGATCTTTTATACTTTTGTTAATTCTTGTTAGAAATTTCATAACTGGTGGACGACCTGGGAAGTACTGAGAAAAAGATTGAATATTAACATGCAGTAATCGATAGAACATGAAGTCAGAGAAACTAAATTCTAATTTTTTTCTATTTGCGAGTCTTTTTGGTCACTTACAGCTACAAGTTTCTCTTCTAAAACATGAAGAGTTTATTAAAAATGGAATAACATAAACAAGACTAATTACACCAGTTCAAACCAATTAGAAATCATAATTTCAATTAGAAATTTTCACTTCAAAAATAGAAGATTTGTTCTGTTAAAATAGGATTAACATATTCATTCTGGGGAGAGGATAGTCGATAAGAGATGGCTTGATCATATGGCGAACCACAGCCTCTTGTCTGGTTACCATTACCATTACAAGTCGGGTATGGGGTCAGTTAGCCAGTTATTTGTTTTAACGTAAATGGACTTGATGGAAGGGAAAGCCGTAACCGTCCAGCGGTTACGTGAACCACCCTATGACGCTAGGAGTCCAGCAATCCTCTCGCACATAACCATCCCCGCATGGGAGTTGAACCTGCGATCCATGCAGGGTAATCAGTGGTATGAAAGCTAGTGTATTCCTGACACTTAGCACGATGCATCACACCGCCAAGCTTTTATAAATCTTTACAAACCTTTATGAGAGCAGCAACAAAGTCTTTCAAAGCTTGTAGATATCTTCCTTGAATATACTCAACACCAGAAACCTCTTTTCTTAATGTATAATGAATCGCAACCTCAAGGTCATGCATGTACACCTTTGACCTGGGAAGAGAAGAGTTCATGAAGAATATAAAAATCTGGTGTCTCATGTAGTTTCGTACCACGTTACCTTGTAGTGGGCATAGTGTAACAATTTTTGGTACTCTGGAAGTATGTAAACCAAGATGATAGACAGGGGAACGTAGTATGTGTACCAGGTTAGGGTTAGACCATAATTTCATTCTAATTTTCCTTATTTTACTTCTATTACGAGTTCAGGGACTAGCCAAGTGACTCCCGTAGTATTTGTACGTTGGATTATGGCCTAACCCTAACCTGGTACACATACTACGATCCAGCCAAGGTTCCCTCTAAGCTGCGCAACTGCGCAGTACCACCATAACATTTGGGCAGTAAAATCTCATTCTCGCGCAGTTGCAACATTTCGTTTTCAAAGCGTGGCTCATAATTCATATGTCAATTTTATTTACGCTCAACTAAAATGCTCCCATGTTTCACGCGTATTTTGGTGACCCCCGGCCATTGTGATGTCTCACTCGTGTCTGTCACACCCAAGCACCTTGTTTTCTGTATGCCAGCGCAGGCCAGTGTCGCATTTTAAAAATTTTCATCACACGCTATGGATTTTGTGTTGTCAACCTGCAAAATCTTGTTATTGTCCGTAGTGAAGTTGAAACAGATGAAGATATGGAAGGTTTAGAATTTTAAATGTTGCAAAGCTGGTGCCCACTGTTTACCACAGTAAATTTGCTTGAATCTCGAATTGGGACAGAAGTAGCCATAAGCTCATACTAAATGATACCGATGTTATATTTGAAGTATGTTTCACCAGAAATTACTACCTAGTTTTTCAAGAGTTTTAACGAAAACCAATGTTCTAGTGTTTTATATCTGAGTAAAATGTCTATCCAAGGAAGCAAGGCTAAAATTAAGAAAATTGATTTTAAAGTGGAATCGCTGAATACAGCAGTGATACCAGTATGAACAAGCTAAAAAAACTGCTAAACTTTGTGAAATTTATTACTATTCCGCGTCAAGGAATGTGATATTCTGCGAAGTTTGTCAGGAAGTGGTGTAGGGACAATCATATCAAAATGATTGAATTCGGTAATTCAGGCAAAACTAGTATTATTAGTTGTAAATCGGGTTCAACTAAGATTCTTTGAATTAGGGAAAAACAAGTTGGTCGAGTATAGACTTGAAAGCACTATCTAATAGGCTATCGGGTAATGTTACTGACATTTTTTCATGTACCTTTGATATTTAGTTGGTAACCAAGTTCTCTGACTGCAAAATAGCCGCGTTCGTTCACAAATATTTCCATCGGTATTGGACAGATGATGCCTTTGAGATATGTTAGAACTCAAAAGCCAAAAAAAGCAGGCAATAGTATATTCAGTATTTATTTATTAATAGATACATGCTATCCAAAATAAATTGTATATTCATTCAAAAAGAACAGTATAATAGCATATCCATAAAATTGATTAGGTCTACTTACATCAATTTGAGACTGAAACTTATTGGGCAGGGGATATATAATTATTTGGCTAACATAAACAGTTAAAGAACTCGTAATAGACCCAAAATAAGAAAAATCGGAATAAAATCATGGCCTGACCCTAACCTGGTACACACACTATGGGAGTTCCCATTAATTTGAATCTAAAAAATGTTGTTGTGGGAATTCCGTACAAAACAAAGTATTTGCAACGGCGTCAAATGTATTCTAAGTCAACATAAAAATGAGATTTTGCCGCAAAAACTATTTTCTATAGTTTTTCTCCAAGGTCCTCTTAAATGCCGTTACTGCAGAAGTATTAAATACAGTGGATCATTAAACAAACAAACTAACACAATGAAGGATCCAGGAATTGGAACGCACAAAAGCTGAAGATAATGTTGGAAGAACGAGTTGATCCCAGGGGAAGGAAAGCCGATAGGGGAGCTTAATCATATGGCAAACCACAGCGTCACGTCCGGTTACTAGTCCATGTCGAGTATGGGATTTGTTAGCCAGTAACCGACCAACGGTTACGCAAACCATCTTCGGCGGCAAGGAGTCCAGCAATCCTCTCGAACAAAACTATCTCCGCATGGGTTTCAACCCACACACGGCAAATCGAGGTGCTATGGCGAGCGTATTCCTAATGCTTAGCACAATGCGCCACACCGCCGAGTTATCCTTTTTTTCAAAATAGTCGTGGTTTCTTGTAAGGATGCAAGCTTTTGTTCTGAAAATCTTCAGTGAATGCACAAACAGAAACAATGTCAACTGTTGTGTGACTCCCTTCAACCCCAGACACAAACTTTGGGATGTCACAGAATTCAGTCCATTCGTTGATATTGTTAAAAGCCCAGACTTTCCCTGTATTCTGAACGATAAATAAATAGCCATTTATATGCAAAGGCCAGCTTTTGTCACCCGGGAGGCTTCTAATATCTCTCCATTCTGACTTTTCCATATCATAACCTTTAACAGTAGAAGAGTTGGAAAAGAAATAAATGCAATCTTCATGAACGATACACGATGTAATAGGTTCTTCTCCGTTTGAATCGGGGTGCCATGAATCTGGGACATGAAGTTCACGTGACCAATCTTTACAATTGACATCAAATGTTTTCATCCTCTGTTCTCCGAACCTATCCCTATAATCCAAAGTGCTCCGAACGACAAAGATTGAACCATCCAAAACCCCCGCCATAAATTTTCTCATTTGTCTACTGTAAAACTGTTCAAATACTGGTAGATTTTCATTCCAGGTATCTTGCAGTGCATCATAGCACGAAGTATTTTTCTTTGAGATGACATATATACTGTCATCTACAGCTACAACTTCCGCCGAACTATCAAGATTTTCGCTCATAGATCTTTTCGGAACCCACCTTTTATTTTTGTCTAAGAAAGACAATTTATTGTCACTGAGAAGACATAATTTACCATTGAAACAGAATATCTTAGTTGACATCGGAATTGTTGTGTTGGGGATGGGAATCGGAACATTAGCAATATTTTCCCAAGTTTTTGTTGCAACATCCATGGTTCGCATTCTTACATCCGTATAGAGAACTGCTATAAAATGGCGTTTATTTCCACTAAACATATGGCTTCTTAGATAAGTGTTAAAAAGAAGATTTTGGCACTCCATAGACTCTACCACTAAACTATCTTCTTGGATCATTGAGATAAACTCTTTTGCTATTTGCTCACCGCGGATATATCTCAGAAGTTGAGGCAAAATAATTTCCCGATCCGTTCCGTATCCTACCCAAGCTTTTATCGCCAACCATTTCCATTTTTCTCCGGTTAAATCATCCATTGCTGAATCCGAGAGTAAGTAAATAAGTTCAGATACAGGAATCGATTTGAAGTCGGGTTTCGCAAGAAGCTCAATAATATTGGTATTCCGAAACTCATTCAAAGCTCTTTTGATCGAATTCGGAATAAATTTTAGATTTTCTGTTATTTTCTTCAGTAAAAAATAGTTGCTGAAAGAAATATTTTGACTGAAAACAAGATCGTCCATAAAAACTCTTTCACATAAAATATTTTTGCATTCTTGAGAATCTCGTAAAATAGGTTCATCCCATAATCGTTGAAGCAGTGAAATTGTAGGAAACCTATCCCAATTTAATATGCTCAAAAGCTCGGAAATGTGCTTTTGTCGATCGTCAACCTCAAATTTTATCCAGTGGATAATGCACTCCCACACAGTGACATTCACGTTAGGGTGCTGCTTCTTAATGTAGTCAGTGAAATGAGATTTCGAGAGTTGAAGCAATTTGGTCAAGTTTTCCACCTTGTAGGTTTTTTCAAAGAATGTTTGGACATATATCATGAGTTTAGTGATGTTAAATTGATCCACGATATTATAAATTTGAATGCAGTTTTGTGAATTCAGATTATTCTTTAGGAAATTACCAATGTGCTCAGTTATTCTATCCAGTAGCATGATTCCAGCTGCTTGGAGTACGTCTCCAATATCTTCAATGTCAACTGAAACCTCATCCACATTTCCAGTGTACATGAACTCGATGCATTCACGCACAACATCTGGGTTTACATCTTTCATATGAACAAATCCTTGTAAATTTTCTTTAGTATCGTAAGCCAGCATTGCTTTGAAATAGTCAGAGTTTGCGACGATTATATCGCGATGAACGTTGAATGATTCGTATTTAACTTTTATAGTAAAATCGGCGGGGGTTCCGGCTTTTCTGTGAGCAAATTTTTTCTCTTTGCAATCTATCTCTATTTGTTTAGAAGTTGACGGTTCACTCATACTGTTACTGCTAATATATTTACTAGTTTTCTGTTAAAAAAGTTCAATACATAAATCCGCCAATATATTTGAGAATACTAGCCGGTCAACGGAAAATATATTTTAACTGTAACCCCTATCTGTCTTACAAATATCTTATTTTTGCATTTCCAATAGATGAAATCTATTTATCACAAACTTCCAACCTCCAGTATGTTTCATCTGACGCAAAGCTTATTGAAAATCAGGTTCGTGGTGTGCAACAGTAACAAACGCTTTTGTTCTGTGATATGAAAAGTATAAAGTAAACACAAAGAACTGTAGCTGTGTCAACAAATGACTAACCACAGCATCTCGTGCAGTTACCAGTCCATGTTGAGTGTGTGATTAGTTAATCAGTTATTTCAGATGCATCGAATTTATGGTGGAGGAAGCCGTAACCTAGGAATGTTACAAAACGCGGAAAAAAAAAAGTCCGACCGGAACTTACACAGTGCAACCACGACGTAAGTCGCAACGCCACTAGGTGTCGCCCCGCTGAAACACGATAAATTGCTCATGGTTAAAAGGGAAACGCCATCGATTAAATCCCAGCCTTTCGCTTACCTTGCACTCGTTCATTAACGGCGCTTCGCTATGTCTTGCACCTCGTGGGTAGCAAAACGCAGTTCATTACATTCCAGCGAATTGCTAACGAAAAGCTGTTAATTATTTTCAACGTTTCCCTCGCTTTGTGTCTCGTGGATAGTGAAACACAGCTTGAATAAATTCCAGTGTTTC